GGATTTTGACCAAGCAAGTTAGGGGTTAACTACCAACAAGGGTTGCGGTAAAGTGGTAAGTACTCCTTCATCCTTAACCAGAGGTCTCGGGTTCTAGTCCCTGGGTATAGAGTCGCTTTTGTTAGGGAGAGCTTTACCCCCAATGTGGGACTTTCCGCGTGGATTTGGATTTAGTCGGGCCCCAATGTGGGTATCTGACACCAGGTGAAAAACGAAAAAAATGTTAGGGGTTAACTTTTATTGACTTTTTTTAATTTCATTAAAGATTGAATCTTTTCATTCGTAGTTAGTTTCTAAAGCTTATTTTGAATTATTTGAACGATATTTGCTAGGTTCGGTTGGTTTCGTGGCTTGTTCTAAAGGAAATGTTATGGTTGAGTATTAATTTGATTACAGAAAGAGGTAAGTGTCGTGTTTAACCTTGAATTGAGAGAATTAAGAGTTGTTTGGTTTATTTGCTACTTGAATTATATATGAAGACGTCATATATTGATTGATGTATATGCGTTGTCATAGGTTAAAGCATGCGGGTTGGGTTATTTACCTGTATGTCATTAGTTATACCATATTATGTCTCGTTATTTGTCATGATTGCTACATGTCATTAACTATTATTCATGTTGCTTGTTTTTGTTACTTATTCCTCGATCAAAATTTGTTTACCTGCTATATGCTTTCACTTGTACTAATTGGATATTTTTACTGTTTTATGCTTTTACTTGCTTTTATTGCCTTTACCTTACTTGTTACACTTTATCATATTATATCCAATTGTGTGAGTCCTTTAGATGTCCTTGTATTAGTGAATTGTTAAGGTCTGTGAGTACGATGTATTGGTTATTCTCTGTTGTACTAGTAGATCCTTGGTGTTTGTACTCTTTTGTACCTTTTGTGTTAGATATTAAGTTATTGGTTATATTGAGTTGTTCATGTTAATGAGTTGATATTGGAAATGGGTTGCACACTGCAATAATATTGAAATGAATTGATAATAGAATCGGGTTGCACGCCGCAACATATATTAATATAATATTAGGATCCGGTTGCATACCGCAATAGATATTACGATAAATGTTATGATGGGTTGCGCGCCGCAACAGAGTATGATATGTTGTAATGTTTTTAGTTGTAATGTTCTATTCTGGTACTGCGATATGAGTATTTTGAGATGATATTATTTTGGGGCCCTTTATTAGTTCACATTCGAGTCCCGTCCTTATGAGTTTACTACTTTATCTATATTTCTATTTTTTTATTATTACTCGTACAGATTTTTAGTGAGTGTCTTGTCATAGCCTCGTCACTACTTCGTCGAGGTTAGGCTCGACACTTACAAAGTATATGAGATTGGTTGTACTCATACTATATTTTTGCACTTCTCATGCAGATCCTGGTGTTGTCCTAGCAGCGCATAGAGGAGACTTCTCGGATCCGACTTCTACATGAGACTTGAGGTGGAGCTGCCCGTCATTTGCAGTCCCTTAAGTTCCCTTTCTATCATGTGTTTTTCTGTTCATACTGTTGTATTTTATTTCAAGCCATATTTGTAGTATTCTAGTCGCTCATGTACTTGTAACTTTGGGTTTCTGAAATATATTGAGACTGCATTACGATTTTATCTATCACTTGTTTTTGTGAGTATTTCAGTTCTAAACTATCAATGTTCTCTTTTTAAAATGTTAAAATTGGCTAATACTTTAGCTAAAGTTGGTTTGCTTAGCAAGTGGATGTTAGGCGCTACCACAGTCCCGTAATTGGGATTTCGGGTCGTGACATAATGATGCTTTGGTGCAACTACAACTCTTTAATACTATCCTTAACACTAGAATCTTTGAAAAAATCCTTAGATTTTCAAGAAATTCAGGAACACTCTTCAACGGAGATTTTCAATATTTGTCTTCAAAAGTACTTTTACAACTCAAGCTTCGTATATTGTATAAATGAGTATATATAATATAATTTAGAGTAAAAATTATGATTTGACTAAATTATTGCTTGAACTCGTCTTTTGAATAGATTGACTAGTTGATAGGGATGATGAATAACAACTTGGTGGGGCTGGGTAATTAATATAATATTATTAATGACTCCAAATACATATGAAATACTAAGAATGGAATTGATATTAATATGGCTTGAAAATTTTGAATGAAATATGTATAATACAATGATTATATAGATAACCATATCATCCGTCATTTAACTTATTTTATATTTGTATCAAATATGAGTGTCATATAGTATTATAACCCCTTTTGACTGATCCATATCCAATCTGATATGCATGTCTGTCTCTCATAGTAATAGCTAATTGTGGCGGTGACTGATTGCATTGGTTGGTGCTATATCGACATGGTGGCTGATGGTGGTGATTGTCGATAGTATTGGTGGCTATGTAATAACTGGCAATAATGATCTGTGGTGATGATTGAAAATAGTAGATGGCATGGTAGTGACTGCTGAGTGTGGTAATTGGTGCAATGGTGGTGTGGTTGAGGATGGTGATTGTGGTAGTTTAAAATGGTGAACAAGAGCGACGGTAATAACGAAAGTGAATGATAACATTTTAATGATATTAAGATTTTATTATATATCTTAATCTTCATATCTTTCTAAATCTATTAAGTAATGATAAATAAAAAAAATAAAAAAAATACACTTAATGATTGAGATTTGAATAATTAAGATTTAAATCTATAAAAACGTACTTAATGACTGATATGTGAATGATTAAGATTAAGATATTCATTAAGTGCAAACAAATAAAACCTAAGTCTTCTTAAAATATGAAATTTATAATTCTAAAAAATAAAAAGGTTACATGTTACAATAGTTAAAAATAAACTAATAGTGTAAAAATTGTATACAACTTAAACTTACTTATTAATCCAATATTTTTAGTGGGCGTTTGGACATAAGAATTGTAAAATTTAAAAAAAAAAGTAATTTTTTTTTTCAAGTGAAAATAATATTTGAAAATTAGAGTTGTGTTTGGACATGAATATAATTTTGAGTTGTTTTTGAATTTTTGTGAGTGATCTGAGTAAAAATTTTAATAATTTTTTGGAGTTTTTAAAATTTTTAAAAAATTTCAAAATTTAATTTCAAGTAAAAATTAAAAATCTTATGCCGAAACACTAATTTTGAAAAAAAGTAAAATTTTTGAGAAAAAAGAATTCCTTATGTCCAAACGGGCTCTTAGCCTAACCTCCACACGTGGAGAGACAGATCCACGAGCAGCGGCAATTAGACGGCCAAGTTGCCTCTAGTCTCGGACCATACCATTCACTTTCTTCCAAAACCTACGTGGTTTTGTCCTATTCATCATTTTGCTGTCAACGTCAACAAAAGGCTGCTAAAACTTTATTGGTCAGGTGCTGACAGCCCCTTTTGATCACCCACATGTGGCCATTTTCATGCCATGCTGTGAAAAACGATTGGGCAGTGAGAGATTTGAGGAAAACGGCTAGGTGAGATTAGTTTCAATATTTGAAGGGAATCTTCCATTGCTTCAAGCGTTCACATTTGTTTTTAAATATTTTCATTGTGAAATGACCTGGCTACCCTGTATATGCTTCTATTGTTGTGTCATATTATATGTTTTTTTTTAATCTTGAAGAGCATAACGATTATATCAAGGAATATGTGTTAGGTTGCGATAAATAGAGGGAAAAATAAAAATCATGAATAAATCTAGAAGAATAATTCTTAAAAGAATCATGAAAAAATCTTGGCATAAAAGTATTTCACTAATAGTTTGAAAATATATTTGTGATTAAGGGATTTTCCATATGTGTATAGAGAAATTTGGCTATGTTCAAGGAAGAAATAAAAAATTGTAATAAAGATCATGAATTTAAGCATTCTGTAAAAGTAATTTTTAATGAGATCTCATTTGAACAGGAAGAATATACACGCGCTTGATGTTTGCATCAAACCAATAGAAATATAATATGTGTTGCACATAGAGTTTCATCACCTAATCATGATCAATTAATGCAATTTTTATTCCATTAAATCACTAATCAAGATAAATTTAATCGATTTAGTATAAATACCGAGTGCAGATAAGTATTTATCCTTTTAAACCCTTTTTCTATCCTTCCAAATTGAAGTTTTAACATGCAATTTTTGTCCATTCTAAAAAAAAGTAGAATTTTAGTTACATAAAAGCTTAAATTTAAAAATTATTTTGTAACCTTAGTTTTACAATTTTAGATAGATAACAAATATTTTTCAATAGAAACTCTGACTATTTAGAAAATATTAAGTGAAGATGGAATCATGCACGTAAATGGACTTCAATTTTTGTGAGTATTTCATTTTTTTAGGTAATATACAACTGCTCAACGTAAGTTTATCAATAAAAAACAAAAATATATTTCTTAAAATATGGCAAAAAATACGAGCTCGCAAAAATAATAGTATCAATCTGAAACCAAAAAGACAATCTTTTCTTCTTCTTTTTTTATGGGCGTTATAGTCATTTCATAAATACTCAAAGTCCCCTTGATGTGATGCAGTCCACGTCCACGATACACAAAAATCCAACACACATAACAAAGAATCCTTCATCTGACTTTCCTCCAATTTTCAATTCACTCACCAACCATACAACGAATCCATAGATTACTTTACCCTTATAAAAAAACCAAAATCTCAACCGTTCAATTCATATCTCAATCTAAGCCGCCCGATCATCCTTAATCCTACGGTCCACATTCACCTACTAGAACATTCTCTTCCTTCAATTCAATTCAAACCCTTTATATCCCCCATTTCTACTGATTGTGGTCTCCTCGTGCCATTTTCTCTTTATAGGGTTTAACGTTTTGCCTTTTCTCCTCGACTCGATTATATCAGTTTCTTTAGGTTCTTATATTTCATTTATCTTCAGATCTCTAATGCTACTGTATTTGAGTGTTTTTTTTAATTATATTTATTTTATTCACTTTTTTTATTCTTCATTATATTTTTCAAGTTCTTTTATGGCCTTTAATGTTGTGAAATGTGTGTGTAGATTAATTTTAAATGAAACGTGTTTATATGTTTTAACTACGTTTTTATTTTGATCTGTAGACTATTTTTTTTTAATTATGTGTTACTTACATACTCGGATCAATTGATGAAGTTGATCTGCAGCACAGCATTCTTTTAATTCTTATTATTTTATTTTATTTTATTTAAACTTTATGTCGACTAAAGTTTTCAAACTCTTTTTGGTTAAATGGTGTGAAAAATATGTGTATGTATGTTTTTTTGAAAATTAAAATTTGTATAGATTTTTAATCTAAAGTTCTTTGTGGTTTTAGTTTCTGGAACACATTTTTATGGATTATGTGCTCCTAATATTGGCGGATCCATGGTTTTAAAGACATTATATCAATTTTTTTTGTTCTTAGTTTTTTCAAAAACTGTATAGATTTTTTATTGCTAATGACGTGCATAAGTGTTTTAACTATGATTTAGTTTGACCAAAGGTTTTAACTAAGATATGTTTACACATTATATTTGTGTTTTGTTTATTCCAACTACAATGGTTTTTTTGACATATACATACGCCTTCTGGATCTAATCTAACAATAGATATGTATGGTAACTGTTAACGGCATACGATCTGTTAATACTTGTATGTGTATTGGATTCTGAAACCTGGATCTTATTGTGTTTGAATGTTGTGTAGAACAATTGCTATGGGTAAGTGCTATCCCACTGTAAGCGAGGAGTACCTCAAGGCTGTTGACAAATGTAAGAGGAAACTCAGAGGACTCATTGCTGAGAAGAATTGCGCTCCTCTTATGCTCCGTCTTGCGTATGTTCTCTTCAATTGATTTCTTGCTGCTAGTGCATATTTCATTTCCCCTTTTACTTTTTTGTAAATGCTTAAAAGAACAAAAGAAGCTATCAGATTACTCAATTAATAAAAGAAAAGGAATTTTTCCTCCATTGGGCACAGTGTTTAATATGCTAATTTGACATAAGTGTAGGAATATGACTTGAATAATGGCTGAATGGTTAGTTTGATGGTGAAAACATGAGATCAAATAGTTTAGTGAATTTTATTTTTCGGAATTTTGTATATTAAAGGGGGAATGGTTTTATACAGTTTGGAATAGTTGAAATAGGAAGTGTCCTGTAAATTGGGATGATGGATGTTTTTTATCCTAGAAAAGTTTTCCTAGGAAAAAAGAATTTTTTTTTTGTGGCTCTCAAAATAATTTCTGTTGTCTCAGATGGCACTCTGCTGGTACCTATGATGTGTGCTCCAAAACTGGAGGTCCATTCGGTACCATGAGGTTCAAGGCTGAGCAAGGACATGGAGCAAACAATGGTATTGACATTGCTATCAGACTCTTGGAGCCCATCAAGGAGCAGTTTCCTATCCTCTCATATGGTGATTTCTATCAAGTATGTATTCTTGATTGTTAGTTTTGGTATTTTATGTATTTTATTTGCTAAATCAAAGTGCAGAAATGACTTGTTATTTATTTCTTTGTGTAGTTAGCTGGAGTTGTTGCTGTTGAAGTTACTGGAGGACCTGATGTTCCCTTTCACCCTGGTAGAGAGGTTAGTGAGGCTCTCTGCAGCCTTTAGCAATTTTATTTGACATGTGTAATGAATTGTACTTTATTCAACTTGAGGCCTTATCAGCAAGGACGTAATGACATTGGATAGTGAGAGCCTTTATCCAGATTTTACACTTTTGGCAAAAAATCTTTGCCAATATTCTTAGTGAAATATTGCCTTATTGATAATGGTTAGCCAAGACATTATGATATGCATATGCTTCACTAGTGACAAGGGTATGTCTAAAGAACTTCCTGCATTAAATTCTAGTTTGATGATTCCTACGCCCTTATCTTCCTTTTCCTGCTCAATTAAGAAATACTTGGTGTTACTTATATCTTCAAATGGGGCCATGTCCGTCGCTCTTAACTAAGGAATTCCAAGTCATATATATACCAACTAGATGCTAATTTATGTTTACTGACAATTGGTGGTCTCTGAGTCAGCTTGTGTGCACACATCAATGCTGATTTTTTGTTGGTTCTGTTGCTAAATTCCATATTGTTTGTATATTTTGATGCCTCTTTTTATACTCCATGTTTTATGATTCAACATGTTTGTGGTGGTCTGTTTGCGACTTTATTGTGCCAATGTTAAAATTGTTTATTTTGGCGAGATCTGGACCTAACTAGATTTCTATCTTAACAGGACAAGACAGAGCCACCAGTTGAAGGTCGCTTGCCTGATGCCACCAAGGGTAAGTTCTTCTATTGAGAATTGTCTCTACAGCTTTATACAGCACAATTTGACTGCGAAACAGATTGGAAAAGGAGCTTAAGATTTATTGTGATTTGCCTTCCTTGATATCATCTGTCAACCTAATGCAGGCTCCGACCACTTGAGAGATGTGTTTGTGAAGCAAATGGGTCTATCTGACAAGGATATTGTTGCACTCTCTGGTGGCCATACCTTGGTTTGTAGCCTGCTTTTATTCTGTTTAAACCTACTTGTCTTGAGCAGACAAGCTTCTGTTGTTAAGTACTTATTTCTTATTGCAATTTGCTCCAGGGAAGGTGCCACAAGGAACGTTCTGGTTTCGAGGGACCTTGGACTACCAATCCCCTCATCTTTGACAACTCATACTTTACGTAAGACTACCGTCAAATATGTTTATTTTTTCAGTTCTCAATTTTGTGGAATACCGTGTTACTGCAAACTATCATCTGTCGATCTTGCTTATGGGACATAATTGCTATTGCAGGGAACTTTTGAGTGGGGAGAAAGAAGGGCTTTTGCAGTTGCCTTCAGACAAGGCTCTCCTTTCTGATCCTGCTTTCCGCCCCCTTGTTGAGAAATATGCTGCGGTCAGTATATATAAACTGTAAATTTCTTTCATTTAAAGTTGAAAACACCTGCTCCATGACTGATAGGAGCAACTCTTTGCTTATATTAGGATGAAGACGCCTTCTTTGCTGACTATGCTGAGGCTCACTTGAAGCTCTCTGAGTTGGGGTAAGCATATACTTAAATTGAATATTCATAGATAAATCTGCTTAGAAGATGTAGTCTTCTACACTGTATCTCACTTATCATTTGTTATTTAATGCCAGATTTGCTGAAGTTTAAGCTTGTGTTGGGAGGGCTGGCATGTGCTTGTTCATGTTTCACTTTTGAAGAGAACTTTTGGTGGAATTGTTGGTTTTAGTCTTCTTTTGCCTGCTTATACTAGGATTTGAATTTGGCGTCTGTTATTAGACGATGATGTTGTCACTCTCTTCCAGCTAAATAAGATAAAGACTTCTATTCCTTTTTTCTAGTTTATCCGTGTCTGAAAATTTTCCATTTTGGTACCTTAATATTGAAAGATGCCAGCCTTAGATTGAAAACCCAAAACTAAACTTTCCTAGAAACAGAGACATCGGCAATGTGAAAATGTTGCTGATCTTTCTTTTTTTGGTCAAAAGTTTCAAGCAATTGCCAAGGGAGATAAACCTAGCAAAAAATAGTCTAGAGATCAGGGAAATTTTTGTTGATGGGTAAGAACAAAAGAGCAAACCCATGTTTCCTGAAAATTGTATAATTTTATTTAACAAACAAACGCGTGCATAATTTTATATTTTGGTGGCCAGTCCAATGACCAAACAATGGGAAAGAGTTTTCCAGGCATAATATACCAACCTATTGTCTTTAATAATCCTAATGTCAATTTAAAATTTTGAAAATTAAACATAATAATGGGTTGCCATTTTGAATAAATGAATCATGCAAATTTAATAACTTTGTAATAAAAAGTGATTTTGGATTAAGAGCTTGCTGTTGTACTACTTTCTAGAGTCCGCTGATTTCCATTTGAGGTAATTTTACCACCTATAGAATAGGTTAGTACCCTATTTATATTAAATAAATACCATTTTAAAAT